TCATCTCACTGCCTTCTGACCACCAAAGTTTGTGTTGAGAACTTGTCTGACAATCTTATTGAAGACCCCTTGTACATGGTGAATCATTTCTCTCTTGCTAAGTTAAGATTCTCTCTTCGTCTTTGACTTGACAGTTTGATTAAAATTTGTCTCAGTGTGAGTTTTGTTGTATTTATCCTACTTGGAGTTGGTTGTGTTTTGGATTTGTAGGTTCATGTATTTCATCAAATTTGGGAAGTTTTCAGCCATTATTTTTTCTAATAATTTCTCTTTCACTTTCTCTCTCTCCTCTTCTTCTGAGACTCCTATAATGCATATGTTGGTTTGCTTCATGGTTTCCAACAAGTCCCTTAGTCTCTTCACTTTTCTTCATTTTTTTTTTCTCTCTCCCTAAGACTTGATAATTTCAATTGTCCATTCTTCAAGTTCACTGAATCTTTTTTCTGCTGCTTAGATCTGCTGTTGAATCTGGCTAGTGAAATTTTCATTTTAGTTATTATACTTTTCAGCTCCAGAATTTGTTTGATTCCTTTTTATAATTTCTATCGTTTTTGATATTTTCATTTTGTTCGTGTATGTTTTTCCTGATTTCCTTTAGTCTTTGTCCATGTTTTCACTTAACTCTTTTAGCATATTTAAGAGAGTTGATTCAAATACTATATCTAGTAAGTCAGATGTCTAGGCTTCCACAGAGGCAATTTCTGTCAATTTATTTTTTACTTTTGAATGGGCTATAATTTCCTGTTTTTTTGTATTCCCTGTAACTTTTTGTTGAAAATTGGGTATTTAAAAAAAAATCCCACCTCTCCCAGGCTTTGCAGATTGGTAGCCTTTCATCATTTATCTTGGCTTTTTTTGAGCCTAGGAATCAAAGTGAAGTGAAAGTGCAAGGTTTTTTCCAGGTCTTTTCTGATTGTGCATCTTTCCTGGGCCTATATGTGGCTTTCTAAATTCCCCCATATGCGTAATTGCTTTTGAGTGTTAATTTTCCAAAGAGTCTCAATCTAGTTTCTCCTCAGGATCTCAGATGGTCTATTGTATTTCTCCACCTGCATTCTCTTGTCCCAGGCATTTATGGGTCTGTAATTCCCTTGCAGCTTTCACAAACAGTGCCTGTTGCTTTTTCTGTTTGATGCCCAGATTAGGCAAAACAGAGACCAGTCCTTCAGGCCACACCCAGATTGGTTAGAACATTGCAAAAAGCTCTGCTCTCTCCATTTTGAAAGAAGGAACAGGGAACTGGTCTACCTCATTCTTCATGCTGCCCTAGTCAAAGGGTATTGTAAGGGTGAATAAAAATACCACAAAATTTTCCTACCATTTGATGATGGCTTTTTCTTGATTGAGTGTTTGCTTGGTTTTTGTAAACCTTTGACTATTTTCCAGAGGTCTTATAAGATTATTTCAGCCAATTTGTTGGGCTTTTTTTGTTTTTTATAAAATGTTTTTGTGGAGGAATGAGAGCTTGGAGCTTGCTGGTCCACCATTTTGCTGCCTTCCAGTCCCAGGGGGCTGCTTTTGAGGAAGATACGCAAGTGCACACTCCCTGCAACTGTTTCTCTTTTTTGCTACAGTAATTTGTAAGAATTGCTATGGTTAAAAAAGTCTGTTGGATTAATATATAGTTTTATCAGGAAAAGGTCTGCTATTGAGGTATAGCCTAGACAAACTTACATGTCCCAGGAAACAGTGATAGTTCACACTAGGTCAGACTCCTTGATAAGTCTTGATATTAGTAGAATAATACAGAAAAGTGTAACCTTGAATAATTTAAAACAAAATTAATGATTTAATTCAAACACAGGTAATAACTTATTGAAATATATGCTCATTTCCTCCTATATTTTTATGTCTTTTCTCATCCTCACCGCATCTAAATAGATACTTGTTCATTCCTTATCAAATTTCTCTCAGGTCACCAAGTTGCCAGCCAAATTATAAATTCGTCAGAGTATAGAGTTTAAGAGCATAGATTTGAGTGTAGATTCTGGATTTAGACTGCTTGGGCTTGAATTCCAGATCTTTTACTTGTGAGGCTTTCTAACTTTGGACAACTCCAATAATTTTTCCATTCTTCAGTTTACTCAAAGTTGCAATGATTAAATGAATTTGTATATGGTTAAACTTGGACAACATTTGGAGCACAGTAAGTATATAGTGAATATCATTATTTGTCAGAAAATTGAAATTATTTTCAGTTAAAATATAATATTACAGTTATAAGCATATTGCTAAAAAAGTCAAAATTTTCTAAAATCACATGAGTTCACAATGTAGTGAAATTTGATGAAAATCAGAAATGATTAAATAATTGTCCCAAAGTTATATATTTCATATATAGCATAGACAAGATTCTGACTCATTATTTTGAATTGACCAGAATTTACTCCCTTTTAAAGCAAATATATTTTCAGACAAATTTATAAAGTGCTTCTATTTTTTAGGAATAATATATTAATTAATACTGGTTGTACCCTTTGAATTCTTGTAGCATTATTTATTTTTTATTTACTTATTTATTTTTTTTTTTGAGGAAGATTAGCCCTGAGCTAACATTCATGCCCATCTTCCTTTCCTTTGTATGGGACACTGCCACAGCATGGCTTGACAAGTGCTGTGTTGGTCCGTGCCAAGGATCTGCACCTGCGAACCCCTGGCAGCTGAAGTGGAGCACGCGAACTTAACTGCTACACCACCGGGCTGGCCTCCTGTAATTATTTATTTTTTTGTGTATCTTTTATGTTTGCTCTTACCAACTTGAGGGAAAAATATTATTTTTTCTGTATCCTTAGGCCTTAGCCCATTACCTGGTACAGAGTAAATGTTCACTAAGTGATCACTGATTGAAAAAGTTTCTAATATTTTATCTATTTAAATATCTAGGATTCATTTTCCAATTTTCCAACTTCTCTAACCATACTAACGATACTAAAATTTTGGATAGAGACTTTTCCTTCTACAAGTTAGAAAGGGATTGTGGTTGAGTGGTTAGGCACATACATATTACACCACCAAACTATCTGTGTTCAAATCCCAAATCTGCAAATATCTGCTGTGCAACTTTGGGAAAATTCCTTCACCTCCTGTTCTTAATTTCTTCATCTGTAAAATGGGCATGATAAATCCACCTGATAGAGTTGTTATGAGGATAAATAAGCTAATATAAAGTACATAGACCCATGCTGGGCATCTAATAATATATTTAAAAGACAATTTTTATGATTTTCTGCTTTGGTTTTCTTTTGTATGTTCTATAAGACCATTATGGCTGATGTCTGGCAGGCAAATTTTCCAATCTTGTGTAGACTATACTATTTATTTATTTTTGTTCTCAATTTCTCATATTATTTTGACTGAAAACTTATTTTGGGACCTATGGTACAAACCACTCAGCATGATATGTCATGTAAATAACTTTCTAATAGTCCCTACCTTTACCTGTGACTTTTGCCCTTATTCAGCCGTACTGTAAGTTTTGAAATCTGTGACTCTGGTGTCAGTAAGAGATTATACAGGATCTCTTAGTTGAAAAGGTTCTGCTTTTCAGTATCTGGGTTGCAAAATGCCATTAGTAGACAAGAGGCAAAAAACTTACCCTTAGCTCTATAGTGGAAAAGTAACGGAACAAGTAATTGCAAATTTAGTGTATTAAAATGCTATTAAGATTAAATGACTTGATGCATGTATAGTTATTCGACCTTACCTGATAAAAATAAAGCCTTCAAAAACTATTTGCTGCTGTTTTTATTACCGTAACCAACATTACCACCACCATTATCATCCTTAGTGGAAACATTATAAGGTTACAGATAAAGAAAAGATAGAAGAGGTAATAATTAACCTATCATGGTTACCCTTGGTTTAAAGATTTCTCAGCGTGATATTTGCTCAGGATCACCCCTGGACAGAAACCCTGAGCAGAGTGATTACTCATCACTTTCTCTACCTAAACTGAACTTTGCAAAACAAATATCACGAAGAGAGAAGACTTGTTTGGATTTGGTCAAGATGTTAGTCATCTGGTATATGCAGCAGTCTTTTGTCTTGTCTGTCCTAGCTAAGGACAAAGATGTGATTTTACTTCCACAACACACATGCTGCATGAATAAGAGTAGATCAGATGGTTGGGGGTGGGGAGAGAGGGAGAGAGAGAGAATGTATGCTACTAAGTGGCTGTGTAATATGCAGGCACAGAGGCATTACGATCTTCTCTTCCAAATACTGTAGCATGTTCCAGCCCTTGTTTTTTTGTTTGATAGACATAGCCAGTTTTCTTAGACAACAGATTCTTTCTTGGATCACATATCCTGGAAGCAACTTAGCTGTGAAGATGCCCTTATAGCTTGAAACATGCTTGCACTGCATCTGACATAAACTAACCTATGACACAGAAAACTACAAGGACATGTGTCTCAATTCTACCACAACCTGGCCTCAAAGCCAACCCCCTGTTACCACATCCACAGGCAATATCATAACCAAGGCTTCAAATTCTGCTTACAAATCCTAGAGTTAGCAGTAATTGAAATATTCCATGTTCTAGGAGATGCTCATTTCTGTTGTAATATTTTTATGATTCCACAGAGGATGGTCTATTCTTGCCATTCTGTAACCAAAAATAAAATATCTTATACATTGATGAAGCAAAAATAAATTGTTAAGGTTGTAGAGATTTAAATCAACAGTACCTATTTAATAAAGGAAAAAAGGACAAACTGGAAGGAGGCATTTTTTTCTGTTGCAAATACCTCAATATTAATCAAAAAATGTTTTTTGAAACACATTTTAAATCTATAGCCCTCATTTCTTTAAATAATCATAAGAACTTAATCGATACTTATGACTGCCTTCCTTCATTACCTATACTGCATTTCTCTTCCTTTCAACTAGCACTTTAACTGGAAAAGATTCCTCATGAGGAGTCAATAGCTACAGTCATCTTCTAATGTGGCCCTCGTCTTTAAACTGGTTGATATAGAAGCAGAGATGGAACAGTAGGTATGCACAGATTTGGAGAAAGGCAGTCTGCCTTCAGGTATAGTCCTAGAACTTATACACCTCCTCTGATAGGTATAAGTTGGTATCCTGCTTGTGGTGGGTCCCTTAGAATACATATTTTCCTGGTGTTATGTGATTAGACATTCAGAATACATAAATGATTATCCATAGCCAGGAGTTGTTTCTGATAGGAGGCAAATCTAAGGGGTCTCCATGGAAATTATGCTACGATTACACAACTTCCTTACGTGCCACAGACACTGTCAAAGCTGTCAAGTTGAAACAGTCTTTCACAAATACTTTCAAAACAGTCACTTACTAGCAGCTCAGTAAAGACCATCTGGAAAGACTTTCCTTGCTCTCAATCCCACTTGAAGAGAGCATCTCTCCTGGTTGTATGGGAAGTGTGTCCAAAAAGCCTGACCAATGGAGTATTGTTGGCTTCAAAATATAGAGAGCCCCACAAAATCTCTTTAGTTGAAAGACGCTCCTTAGTAGAAGGCAGCTCAGGGTACAACTACTTCTTTCATCTTCATGGGACTATTTACACATGTATCTGACCATTTCTTTTCAAGAAACTTTACTCACAGAAGGTATCTATACCTTATCCCTCATTTTATTTACTAAGGCTTCTAGAGCACTTGGAGAACTATCTGTTCTCTAAGGCTGACCAAATGTTGCTATTGATGTATCTGATATTTTAAAGAAATGTGGCATTGCTGAAATCCAAGTAGAAAGGTACTTGATTCAGAGTTTAAGGCATTATTAACTCCTTCTTCAGCTCATCCACTACTTAAGGCATTAGAGTGAACCTCAGCTTTGCCATTTACTATGTAACGTATGCAACAACTTTCAGCATCATATTCTTCATTTAAAAAGTGAGGATAATACATTTAGTATTTCACAAGACTATTGGGAAATGTATTAGAAAGTACTTGGTAATGTAGGGGATCAGAATTTGCCACCCCAAAATGTATCTCTGGCATGAGGATTATTTTGGGCTGGTTACTTTTAAAAACTGCAGACAGAGGAAATGCTCTGAAAACCAATTAAAAGTAGAAGTTATCCTTTGTAAGAGACATTTACATTGTAAGGGAAATTTCCATTTGTAAAGGAATCTCCTTCTCTGTACCAGGAAAAAGGGGGGATGACTTTATCTCTAGAAACTCTTATCAACGTGGAAGGTGAAGATTTACATCTATATAATAATCTTATTCTTGTTTACTGTGCTTTTCTGGTAATCTTCCCTAACTGACTCCCTCCACTCCCAACATCCTCCTTTGTCTTTAGCTGAAGATGGTATTTAAGATGAGATCCTCCACCATTTTGACAAGTTGCTCAGTTTTCCTGAGTCTCTCCTATGTATACATGTTATAAAGCTTTGTTAGATTTTCTCCTGTTATTCTGTCTCATGTCAATTTGATTAGTAGCCCAGTCAGAAGGACCCAGAGTGGGTAGAGGATATGTCTTCCTCCTCTAAAGTAATATATATAGGAAAATATAAAAGTAAGTTGTTTTTATTTTCAGTAACTAGAACTATATGCAATGAAAAGCCATCAGAATGTCTTGAAGCTGCTTGCCCAGAAAGCTGGATTGGTTTCCAAAGAAAATGTTTCTACTTCTCTGATGACACCAAGAATTGGACATTCAGCCAGAGGTTTTGTGACTCACAAGGTGCAAATCTTGTTCAGGTTGAAACTCTCCAGGAATTGGTAAGAAAATAGTTCTTGCTAGGATAAAAAATTTGGCTCTATGAAGACACTATGTCATTCTATGTGAGAGTGTCTAAGATACAGGTTTAGACACTTGCCAGGCATTGATTTTTCAGCATAAAGAGAGGGGAATCCAGCAGGTGCTACATTCTGCAGTGGGCTATTTGCAGTTACCTTAACATTCATAGCAGGAAGATAGCCGGTGCCTTCTTTGACTTATCAGCAGGAACTGTGAAAATGGAGATCAGAAAATTAAAGGTGGAAACATAATTTTAAATTTGCACGAAGTTAATAACATCGCTTCAAAATAAATCAAGTAGGAGTGATGTCTGAGAAGTTGGTGGAATGGAAAGCTCCTGAAATCTGTACCTCCACCTAAACAACTATTGAACTTGCAGAAACTCTCTAAAGTAACTAATTTGAAACTCGGGAGTCTAGCTGAACATTTGCAGCATCCAAAGGAGTACTTGATGAAGAGGTCAATAAATTTCAGTTAATCTCATTGAATCTCAGCCTTCCCACTCAGTAGTGGCTACTATTCCCCACACCCCACCATGGCAGGGAGTATGGGGACTACTTTTCATGTTCCTGCTATAGATTACTGGAGCCAGGGTGGGCAATAAAAACCTTGTTCTCCAAATATTGGGGTTATATGTTGTTATTCTAATTGCTACTTTTCATTGCTGAGAGGCAGGCAAGGAGGCAGGCTGCCATTTTTTTCAACCCCCACCAACTGAAATGCCTTTTGTGGGATTTAAAGGAACAGCACTTGGTTTTTCTCCTTTTGGGAACTAGGAATTTAAGAAAATCTTTGGCAGATAACTGGCTGATCACAGAGATAACAGAACAGATATTTCAGTGACCACACAAAACAGGGAATACACATTATGCAAAAATAGTTCAGAAAAGTCACAAATAAATGGCTCCATACCTCAATAATCAAAATTCAACAATCTCTGAAAAGCAGGAGAATTAGATTCCCAGAGTTACCACAACAAAATACTCATAATGTCCAGTTCTCAACAAAAAATTACAAAACATACAAAGGAATAGGAAGGTATAGCCCATTCACAGGAAAAGATGTCTGACAGAAACTTTCCCTGAGGGAGGCTTGACATTGGAATTATTAGTCAAAGATGTTAAATCTACTGTCTTAAATATGTTCAGTGAGCTACAGGTAATAATAGACATAAATCTAAAAGAAATCAGGAAAATAATATAGAAATAAAATGAGAATATCAATAAAGAGGTAGAAATTATAAAATGGAACCAAATAGAAATTCCCGAGCTGAAAAGTACAACTGAAATGAAAAGCTCACCAGAAGGGTCAACAGTGTATTTGAACAAGATGAAGAAAGGACCAGCAGCCTTGAAGATAAGAAAATTGAAAGTATCCAATCTGAAGAACAGAAAGGAAAAAGAATGAAGATAAATGAACATATCATGAAGGAACTATAGTAAACCATCAAGTAGACTAACATACCAATTATAGAAATCCCAGAAGAAAAAGAGAGACAGGAGTAGAAAAAACACTTAAAGAAATAATGGCTGAAAACTTCCCAAATTTGAGGAAAGAGATGAATATACATGTCCAAGAGGCTCAAACAAACTCCAGTCAACATAAACTCAAAGAGAACCACATTAAGACAAATTAGATTCAAGCTGTTGAGACCCACAGAGAAGTCTGAAAGCAGCAAGAGTGAAGCAACTGGTCATGTACTTGTGAGCCTTAATAAGATTAACAGCTGATTTACCCTGAGATACCATGGAAGCCAGAGAGCAGTAGGATGACATATTTAAAGAGCTGAAATAAAAAACTGTTAATCAAGAATTCTGACAAATGTTATTGCAATAAAAAAATAATTATAAAACAAAAAAGAATTCTGTATTTCGCAAAACTGTCCTTCAGAATGAAAGAGAAATTAAAACATTTCTAGATAAACAGCAACTGAGGGAGTTTCTTACCAGTAGACTTATCCTACAAGCAATTATAAAGGCTAAAATTAAAGTACATTAGACAGTAACTCAGAGTCAAAAGAACAAAGAACACTCATAAAGGTTACCACATAGATAAATATACAAGTCAGAATTATTGTACTTTTAGTTTAGTTTGTAACTTCTCTATTTTCATATATAATTGTAACTTCTCTATTTTCATATATAATTTAACAGGCAAATTCATAAAACAATAATTATAAATCTATGTGAATGGACATAAAATGCATAAATATGTAATCTATGACAATAATATAAAGAGAGATAGTTGGAAATGTATGGGGCAAAATGTTTGTATACTATTGAAACCAAGTTCATATTATAAACTAGGTTGTTAAAAGTTTAAGGTATTAATTGCAATCCCCAAGGTCTCCACTAGTAAAACTACTAAAAAATATATACAAAAGGAAAGAAGAAAGAAATTAAAATGGTACATTACCAAAAAATCAACTAAATACAAAAGAATGCAGTGATACAGGAATTGAAGAATAAAAATCATATAAGATATATAGAAAACAAATAGACAAATGGCAGAAGTAAGTCCTTCTTTATTAGTAATCACATTAAATATAAATGTATGAAACTATCCTATGAAAAGGCAAAACCTAGAGGATTGATTAAAAAAAACAGAATCCATCTATAAGCTCTCTACAAGAGATTCACCTTAGATATAAGGACACAGAAGTTGAAAATAAAAGGATTGAAAAAGATTCCATGCCAAGTAACTGAAAGAGAGCTGGGTGGCTACATCCTTGTCAGACTTGTAGACTAAAGCAAAAAAGTTTACAAGAGACAAAGAAGGATATTATATCTTAATAAAAGTTTTGGTATAGCAAGAAGATCTAATAATTATAAACGTATGTTTACCTAATAACACAACCCCCAAATAGATGAAGAAACATTTGAAAGAATTGAAATAAAAAATAGAGAGTTCTACAATAATAGTTGGAGACTCAATACTTTACTTTCAATAATGGATAGAGTAACAATAAGGAAAGAGAGGTCTTGAACAGCACTCTAAACCAATTAGACCTAATAGACATATGTAGAATACTACACCCAACAACAGGAGAATACATATTCTTCTCAAGTGCACATGGACCATTCTCCAGGATGGACCATATGATAAGCCACAAAACAAGTCAATAAATTTGAAAAGATTGAAATCATACAAAGTTCCTTTTGCAATTATAGTGGAATAAAACTAGAAATCAATAACAAGGAAAACTGAAAACTTCACAAATGTGCAGAACTTAAACAACCCACTCTGAAACATCCAATGATAAAAAAAAAAAGAAAAGAAAAAATCCCAAGGGAAATTAGAAAATCCTTGAGACAAATAAAATGAAAGCATAACATATCAAAACTTAAGGTATGCAGTGAAAGCAGTAATAAGAGGCAGATTTACAGCTGTCAATGCATAGCCTTAAAAAGAAGAAATCTCTCAAATCAATAACCCAATTGTGTACCTCAAGGAACTAAAAAAAGAAAAGCAAAAATAAAGGTCATCTTTATGACTTCAAAAAAGTAAAGATTTTCCTAAGAAGTTACTAAATCCACTAATCATAAATGAAAATTATGCATTTAATTATATTAAAATTAATACCTATAATCATAAAAAGACACTATAAATGTTGACAAGTGTAGCAAAGGAAACTGGTCCACACTGCTGCTATAAGTGTAATTTGGTACAATTACATTAGAAAAGTGTTTGGTATCATTTGGTAAAGCTGACAATAAGCATGCACTGTGGCCTAATACAGTCGTCCCTCAGTATCCACAGGAGATTTGTTCCAGGACCTCCCATGGATGCTCGAGTCCCTTATATAATAAGGAGTAGTATTTGCATATAACCTCTGCACATCCTCTCGTATACTTTAAATCATCTCTAGATTATTTCTAACACCCAATGCAATGTAAATGCCATGCAGATAGTTATTATACTGTATTGTTTAGGGAATAATGACAAGAAAAAGAATCTGTGGAAGTGGAACCCGTGAACATGGAGAGCCAACTGTAATTCTATTGCAGGACAGGTTCCAAGAATGTCATAATAGCATTCATAATAATTTCAAACTTGAAACAACCCTAGGGTCAACCAATAGTAGAATAGATAAACAAATTGTGGCATAATAATATAAAGGGGTACTACGCTGAAATAAAAGCAAAGTTATCAAGTATTTCTCTCAGTTTTGATCTTCTCTATGTATGTATGATAATAAAGCATACCTATCCTCTATGTATTATTACACAATACAAAATTAAAAAGAAGAAAATTACAAGAGCAGTTAAGACTATAACATAGATGCAACATTTCTTCAGGGAGAGGCTAATGACAGAATAATGAATATCATGCTTGTGTTTTCTGAAAGGAGTTTCTATTGAGGTATAAAGGCCCCTCTGACCACTGGATTGGGTTGAGCAGAGAACAAGGCCAATCTTGGAAATGGACAGACGGCACTGAATGGACCAGATGGTAAGTTTTGAAAACATGGCAGCAATATTTGTATTTGAATTTACTTTGCATGAAACCTAGTGTTCTTCAGTTATATACTCTAAAAATTATTTTAAGATTAGTCATAAAGAAAGACAGTGCCAACTTGTATGTTGCAAAGGTTTTGCAAGCTCCTTGAATCAACCCACAGCCTATCACAGGAGGCGTGGTGAGGTAGAATGACTAAGAACTTGATTCCAGCCTCATCTATGTCATTTACCAACTCTTTTGCTTTGAGCACAGCACACATCTTTATCTAAGTTTCTTACCCCTATAACAAAATCAATGGTACTTGCCCTATCGATTTCACAGAGTAGATGTGAGGGCCAGAGGTTTTGATGTATATGACAGTACTTTTCAAACTTTAAAATATTATATAAATGCAAATTAAATTACTATATACAACTACCATTGCATCAATCTTCAGCCATTTACAGGGGGATTATGAGTGATGGTAATAATACTTATTATTTATAACAAGATCATAGTTACAATGTTTAGGACAGGTAAAGTTTGACATTGTTGAGTTTACTCTCAATTGTATATGCATAAGATCTTTATATTACTGAAAAGATTTTGAATAATGCTGGGAAAGTTGGATTCAGACAATTTCACTAAATTGCTGCTTGTCTGAGGACATTTTCATTTTTGATGATAAAGTAGTCAACATTGGAAAGATAACTTTATTTAGTGAAAAGGGCACTGGACTGGACATTGGTAAGTTTGAAATCTAGTTCTTACTCATTAGCTTTTTGAACTCTGACAGATAGTAAATTTTAGGAATCAAAGAGAACTTATATTTACACATTGTTGTATCTGCAGTGCCTAGCACATTGTGCATGCTTGATAAATATTTAGAATTAACCTCTATTTCTTCCTTTACAATACTGAAAAAGTAATATTGACTCCGTCTAATCCTCAAAGGGTTTTAAGGATCAAATACATTGTTAACTCTCCAGTTGTTGAAAACTGTTCATCACTATAAAAATGAAAAATATTATATTTATTAAGGCCTAGTATATTTCAACAATTAGCAATCATATCAGACTATCGCAATTTCATCAAGTAATGAGGAGACATTGACAATCTGAATGCTGACCCAAATGTCTGTGTCAGGCCATTTAAACTTGGCTGAATAGCACTGTAGTTTCAGGGAAACTAGGAAACTAGCAGGGAAGTGGGAAGACTATGACGAAACATGGGGCTTAGAGAAAGCTGCTGAGGTCTTCAGTTATTTAAGGAAGCAGAATATTGCTGACACTGTGGAGAGAAAACAGATGTCTGACCTCTTCTATCAGCCAAGTGAGGCTTGGGATGTAGTTGAAATAAAACTATGCTTATAGACACAAAATAGTTTTGATTTACTGTCCCTATAGCTGATTTATTGTATCTCCAGCTAATCAAAGCCCATTGACTCGTTACTGATCAATACATAAGGCAGGAGAAAATCGGGGCCTAAGAACAACAGAAATTATCTGTAACATAGCAGCATTTTTTCACTCTTTTCTTTCCCAAAGTGAAGAAGGTGGAAATAGCCTAGGCCCTGCTGTTTTATCGATCCAGGTATGAATCCTAGTTTTACTTGTTATAGGATCTTGGGGAATTCAGTTTCTTTAGCTATAAAAAGGGATAATAATACATATCTCACAGGGTAATTTTTAAGGTTAAAGAGATGATACATATAATGCATCTTATATTGAGAAGCTGAAATAATGTTGGTTTCCTTATTTTCTCATCTTTATTCTCTCTGTTTTTGAAGAAGTGTCCAACTGATTGATTCTGCTTCTTCTATTGCAGTTTTCCAATCACAGGAGGAGGGGAGTGTGCCTATTTGAATGATAAAGGTGCCAGTAGTGCCAGGCGCTACACGGAGAGGAAGTGGATTTGTTCCAAACCGGACACCTATGCCCAGATGAGGAGTCAAAGCCCTAACTGATATATGTATATGTATATATGTGTGTATATATATATATATATATACGTATATATATATAATTTATATACGAGGGAGGGGAGACAGGAAGAAGACTTGTATTTCACTGAAGTGGAATCAAAAGATTGTACAATGAAATATTATTCACAAAATTATTTCTAGTATAATTCTGAATAAACACCTTGACAGGCAATAAACATCAAATATGTTACAGTTACCTCTTGTTCCTTAGGGTGAATTCCAATTACGTAAAAGAGAATTGGCATTCTGTTTTCAGTAATTGCTCTTTTGAAATTAGTGTTTTACCACAATATGTGTGAAAATACTTTTAAAACTGTAAAGTGGCATATTATTAAAATATGCCTAAATCAAACTAAAACATAATTCATTTTCTACTTTGTAGTATGTAGAATCAGATTGACATATGAAATGTGATATTTTATACCTTTGAAATCTTTAGAGGGATAGATGTTTCCAAAACTCAAAACTACTATTGAGAGACTGAAACACTGACCAATGTTAAAATTCTACTATCATGTGCAAGAAATATCAGAAATCAAAAATAGTAGCCTCTGGTAAGGCAAGAAGTAAGGAGGCCTGTCACTTTCTATACTACTGTGTAACTTATTTTTTTTAAATAAGTATGTACATGTACTTGCTATGTATATTTTTTTAAAAAAAGGAAAAATAGAAATTTTTACTAATTTAAAATCCATAGTTATCTGATTTCTTGGCTGTGCTAAGGTAAAATGCGATAGTACCAAAATAAACCTGTTTAGTGAAACTAAAGTATGTTTAATGAATTGGCTCTTGTCAATAATCACATATTTTCTGTTAAAAAAATTCCACAATTCAGCAGATACATGTGGCCCCTAATTCTGTGTTGAACATTAAAATATCAGGGTCATAGTTCAGAAATACATTCTCAGGTATTTGCCTTTTATCAACACTTCCTTTTGTTTTTGTATCAAAATCTGGTCACCAATATGGGCTCACTTTAAATATCTACATATCTCGGTAAGATCACCATATATCAAACAGTCAAGGCAATCTAATTTTCCTACAAGCCTAGTGTGACAGAGCTCCTCAACACATAAACTTTATAAAAATGTTTTTTTCCTGAGATCTGGTATTTCATACAAGTGAGCCAACATTATATTATTCTAACAAAGCTCTCTTTTAGCTCTATTCTATTTGTTTATGGAAAACTAATAAAGAAAAATACATTCATTTTGGGCTGCAGATCTTAGCCTCTAGCTGAAGAAATTACGGAATCTTTATGGTATGGTGGTCGGTTACATAGTCTGTGGGCCACAGATTTAGCTGCCACTGGCTACCTGTGTACACTCTGAATGGAGAGTGGCTGCTTCCAGTTCTCTTGAGTATGTGTCAGGTTACAGAAAACATCTATTTTCACCAGTGATCTTAAGATATGATGGTATGTTAGTGTTTGAAGGAGCCAAATAAATATTTGCAATTAGTCTACCTTTCACATTTTTAGTCAAATGGTAGAGATTTGCAAAGGAACCCTACCACACATGGGGACCAAGAAGCCTTAATGAAGCATCAGCAAGAGTGCTGGCCTATAGCAGAGCCTGCTGCATGGCAAAGACTCAGGCCACCCTAGAGTTGCCTCACCAGAAAGCCGTCTCATCCCAGGAAATGAGTTCATAGTCAAAAATTAGCAAACGTATCAGGACGATCAGCAACATGAAAGAAAAGTCTACAATCTCCATCAACAAAATAATTGCACCCGAGGAGATAAAGCTCATAAACAATTTGTAAAAATAAATAAATAAACGAACAAACAAAAGAAAAACAACTTCAATCTCCCCCAAAAAACTTTCAAAAGGATTATATTTATTATTCCTGAGGAGATGAAGTACAGTATAAAACAGGCAAAAACAGTGTAAAAAAGAATTTTATTGCAATCTTAAAAGCAAAAAAAAATTATTGTTGAAGTATACTCAATAGGAAGGCTAAATACAATGACCTAGCTGACAAACAAAATAAAGGAGTAGCAGATTGGGTTGAAGATTTCCCCGAGAATTCAGAACGAAGAGATGAAGCGTTGACAAATATGAAAAAACTAAGATTGATGGAGAAACTAAAATATTCATCTACTAGGAGTGCTAGAAGGGCACAATAAAGAAAGGAGAGAAGGGCAACTGTCTGAAGAACTTACAAGGTGCGTCTAATACCATCACCGGGCCTGAACCATGGGTTTCTCAGGCCAATGTCGAGAACACTGTACTACCAGCACAGGGAATATATTTGCTATGATCCTCAGGAGACTATTTGGGAAAAGAGAAGAGGGAAAAAAAAAAAAAAAGAGAAAGTGCATACAGGGGTTGATCGTAGTTGCTGCTGTAAAAACTATTGTTATGTGCAAACAAACATGGTGAAATAATTTCTGTTCACAGTAGGGTCTTCAATGTGGAAATTGGATAGAATAGTATGTAAAGTAGAATTCAAAATCATAAGCTTCATCCTACGGAATATGGGTGGCCAAGAAAACACATAGCTCCTATGGTTTTATCAGTTTCAAAACATGCACAGTTTTATTTTTTATGGTTGATTGTAATGGTAGAGAAAGGGAATGAGAAACTAGCAAAGATCTTGAGCAATCTCTGATAAATTTGAAATGCTGCCTTATTAGCATTTGTAAATAACATATATTCCCAAATGAAAAAACAGTTAAAATCACATTTAAACTAAAACTGGATTTTCTATACTAATAAAGTGATATGTCTAGACCATCTGTATCATCCCTGGGCTCAGGTGATACAGGAGACTAGATGTTCGTAACCTTTTAGCTCATAATTAAAACGTTTTCTCTTTGGGGAGATCTTCTCCCTAATGGAGGGCAGTCACTTTCAGTCTGTGCCAGGTATGTGTTTGGTGTGTCTTCACTACAATCCATGCTTTCATTACCTGCTCTGCATTAATGGGCTGGACTCTAAGCTTTCTTCCTTGCAGTGAGTTGATGTGAGGTTTGTGACTAGAGGACACCGGAGGGTCATTGCAGGAGGAAGCAGCTTCTTCTCTGGTTCCGATGTTTCTGTTTTGCTTTCTATTTTTTCTCTTGCCGCATGAAACTGACATTAAAAAACGGTGCTAAACCATCAATAACCTTGTGGTAACAAATGCAAAACTATTGTGGAGTTGGAATATTATTTAGCCATAAAAAAGAATGAAGTACATGCTACAATATGAGTAACCTTTGAAAACAGTATGCTATGTGAAAGAAGCCAGGAATCAAAGGTCACATATTGTATGATTCCACGTACATAAAATATCCAGAATAGGTAAAACCACAGATGCAGGTGCAGATTGATGGTTGACAGGGGCTGGGTGTGGTGGTGGGGAATGCGGATCAACTGCTTAATGGGTATGGGGTTTCCTCTTGGGGTGATGAAAACGTTTTGGAACTAGATAAATGTGGTGGTTGCACAACATTGTGAATGTACTAAATGCTACTGAATTATTCGCTTTAAAAGAGTTAATTTTACATTATGCCAATTTTACCTCAATTAAAAATAAAAATTATTCTGGAGTGACACTTCCACAATGAGGAAGAATCCACACTGAAAGTGAGTTCACAACGGAAAACAAAAAAACCCCATCTGGGAGAGTCAACAGAAGCAACAAACAGGAGGATGAGAATCAGAAGAACCCAAGACCATGTAAGTAACGACCCGAAACAGTGTATTACAAAATAGAGGAAACAAGAACAGATGAATTTTTAAAATAACTAAAGAGAACTTTTAGAAATGAAAAATCTAATAGTTCAAATTTCTAATGAATTGCATGAACAATTGATTAAATTAAACTGAAGAGATAATTAATATGCTGGAATTTAAACCTTAGGATAATAAAGAGATTAAAAAATACATAAGACATTTAAAAACCTTGGGTGATAGAATGAGAAATTCCAGAAAACATCTAATAAGAATTCCAGAAGAAATAAATGAAATAAAAAGATAAGAGAGAGGCAATATTTGAGGAGTCAATACCCTAGAATTTTCCAGAATCCTCATTATTGGCTAATAAAAATATAAAGTGTTTACAATTACGTTTAAGAAAAATTTGTCAATATCTAATAAAGTTGAAGAATGTGCTTATACTATAAGTTTGTAATCATACTTGCAGTTTTCTACTGGAGAGAAATTCTCAAGCTCCTATGCAGTAATGCACCTCGCAGCATTGTTTGTGATAGTGAAAAGACAGAACCATATTAACTGAGTCTTTCACAAGAAAAGTCTTTTGACATACTCTGCTTTTATACATTAGAAAATCTGCATTTAGTCATGAGGGACTGTATACTACTAAAAATTAAAACATTAGACAAAATTAATTAAAACAATTAAATTTTATCTGGGGAAAAAGCTTGTTAATAGAGTTTAAAATAATATATATGAATTAATAAGTAAAGACAGATAATTTTATAAAGGTCTGCTGAAACAACATGCTCAGAATAAAGCTAATAAGTACTATTCAGAAGAGTGTCCCATTCAGACCCTGATTCAAAATCAGTTATGTAGTTATATTATGTACAATTCTAATGGGTTTGATTATTTGGCTAGTTCACAAACTATAAATAGTAGATTAGAAGTAAGGTATGAAAATATGTCTAGAGAGGAACATGAGACTAAGCAGGAAGGGCAGACAGCTGAGAGAAAAAACAAATAAAAATAAGAAGATATATTTAACAAAAAGCTTGTCACTTTGAGTCCCTTAGTTTGGAGGTGTATAGCAGTATGCATCTCTATTTTTCTTGAAGTCTTCACTATATTACAGTATTGTTTAAAAATCTATGTTCAAAGTGGATCGTTAACACAAATTTCAACTTGTTCCACATGCCCTGTTTACTGCAGTAGGTTGAGAAGAGTGGAATAAAGTGTGGAGACGATATACACACCAGTGAAGAAAGATGAAGGGAAAAGCTATACTGGTTACACTGACAGTTTGAACTCAAGGCATGGTGTTGGGTAGGATAACTTCAGCAGCCATATGTCCTA